ATAAAAATTCAGCCCAAATCGAACGGCCCAAGGAATGAAGCCCAATTGGAAGATCCCCAAATCAGATAGCTCAAAGAACGAAGCCCAATCAGATAATTCAGGATGAAGGCCCAAATAGGGAGGCCCATGAACGCGGTAACACCATCGCCGAAGCTTGCAAGTCGCCCAGGATCTGAGCGAATGGAGTGTCATGCAGTCGCCCAGAGCTGCTACTCTATTCTCGCCCAAACCTTCGAGTCGCCCAAGGTCTTAGCAAACATTAAGTGTTATGGTTATCAAGAAGCACAGTTATTAAGCAGCCCTATCACGTTCCACGATTCAAGGAATTCAATTGAAGACGGTTGAACGACAAAGAGTAATGGCAGCAGTTAGAAAAGGCAGTTCCATGACAAGTTGGCCATTACGAGAAAAGTGGACAGTTATAGAACGATCAAGCAGTTTTTAGGCGGTTGATCACAAAGAGATCATCTAGGGAGTATAAAAGGAAGAAAAGACATAGAGAAAAGGACCCCGAATCAAACACTCTCAAACAGAGAATATGTAACTTTCAATTTCTTAGTTTAGATTTAAACACTTCTTTTACAGTAACTCATGTGCTTGCGCTCCTTGGAGACATTCTGTTTTTACTTTCCAATTGTAAAGTCATCTCCAATAAAAAACGCCCATTTTTGGGACTTTGTCTCAAGAGGTTTGTCCCTTACACAATCGTCTGGTCCCTTTTTAATTGTTAGCGACGAATCCGCGTGAAACAATTTGGCACGTCCAGTGGGACAGTGATGTTTAGTGTTGAAAATACAAAAGGTGAAACAATATGTCTCAGAGATCCGATAAGGAAGCAGCAAGTCAGAGAGGAGTCCAGTCTGTGATCGAGCGATATGAGGAGCAGCATGCCTCTCTACGAATAGATGGACAGAATCAGAGCAGTAACAGTCGTTACGAACCAATGACAGAGTTGAGTCCTCGAACTATGCGTGCACTACTTGGAGAACTCACACAAAATGTCGTTGATTAGGTAAATTTTCGAAATATTCATAATATGGAAAGATTTACCCAAAATGGGAATGCACATTATGACAACATGGCCAAACAACTAAACACTTTGAACGAAATAATGAATAAGTTAGTAGGCCAAATATGTCAACCGGTTCTGCATCTTACAAACCACTTTCAAACTAGGACAAATGTGGGACATAATCCCTCAGTCCTAAATCCGAATCAAGGGATAGAACCACTTTCTGGTCCCTCTACTTCAAACCAA